GAGAGAAAAGGGGGAAAGGGTATAGCTACCAAGGCAGAGACAAAATCCTCATGGTCCAGACAGTGGAATCTGCCTTGTCACGTCGGTGAGAATCTTGAAGTCTTGGTTAACTCAGGGGTCTTTTTTAGTCCTCTGCCGATGGTGGGGGGAACAGGTAAAAGACAATGAAGGTCTATTGAAACTGCTGAGGGAGAACAGGTACAATGAAGAGTAAGTGCATTGAAGCCACCTAGGGGGAACAGGTCATGTTATCAGCAGTGAGTGAGAGCCATTGTTTTCTTGGTCCAATGATCACACGTGGGCAAACATCTCACTTCCATCAGGCCAGCCCCTCCCTGTGTTAGAATTATAGGGGTCTCAGTCTCAGTCCTTGGGAGGGGGCTTCAATCTCCATCCGTAACGGTGGTCATGAGGCAGATGAGGGATTTTCTGTGGGCGATCACCAAAGTTACCCCAGAAAGTTCATTTGGCCAAGTGGTGGGGAAATTCATGGGCTATTGTGATGAAGCAGGTGTAAGCATATAGGGCGAGTTGCTCCTTTGCCCACCCTTGCTAGAAGCAGTTGGCACTGCAAACACAGCTGTGAACAATCACTTGGCAAGCATCCTCCTCAATCAGGCCAGAACTCCAGTCAGGGTCCTCAGGGTCCCGGTCTCTGTCCTTGCGACAGTTGTGAGGCAAATGAGGGAAACTTCAGACTGACTCTTACAAGGACACAGTGCTCAGAGCCGTGCTGTGTCCCACAGCTTCGGCATCTCAGGAGCCGTTCCACAGCTGTGGGGCCTGTGCCACCACTATTCCATGGCTGTAGTTCCTGTTCTACCACTGTTATGCCTTTTCCATGGTCGCTCCAGTGCTGCTCAAAAGCTGTGTCGTGCTGTTTCAGCACGGTTCCTCTGCTCCACCGCCGCTGCTCCAACACTGCTCCTTCTCTGACACTGCTCATCTACCACTGTTCCACTGCTCCTCCTCTGCTCCTCCCCTGCTCCTCTGTTGTTCCACGGCTGCTGCTTCTGTTCTAGTGCTGCTGCCACAGCTGCAGAGTCACAGAGAGGGGAATGTTCAGGCAGCAATTGCTGTGGTGTCACAGAGACCAGGACAATGGGACTGCCACAGCTGTGGTGTCACAGAGAGGGGAACACTGGGGCTGCCAGGGCTGTGGTGTCACAGCGGGGCGAAATATTGGGGTTGCCACAGCGGTGGTGTCACAGAGAAGGGAACACTGGGGCTGCCACCACCATGGTGTCACAGAGAGGGGAATGTTGTGGCTGCCACCACAGTGATATCACACACATGGGAATGCTGGGGCTGCCAGTGCTGTGTTGTCATACACAGGAGAACATTGGGGCTGCCTAGGCTGTGATGTCTTAGAATATTGGGGCTGCCTCTACCGTGGAGTCACAGAGAGGGGAATGTTGGGGCTGCCAAAGCTGCAGTGTCACAGACAGGGGACGCTGGAGCTTGCACTGCTGTGGTGTCACAGAGAGGGGAACTTGGGGCTGCCACATCCATGGTGTCACAGAGAGGGAAATGTTGGGGCTGACACTGCTCTGGTTCCCCCTCAGACAGGGGAACGCTGGGGCTGCCAATGCTGTGGTATCACAGAGAGCGGAATGTTGGGGCTGCCATCCTTGTGGGGTCAAAGACAGGAGAACCTTGGGGCTGGTCCCCCTGTTTTGTTATAGAAAGGGTAATCTTGGGGCTGCCACCACTGTGGTGTCATTCAGAAGTCAATGTTGGGACTGCCAACACAATAGTATCACAGAGAGGGGAATGCTGGAGGAGCCACTGCTGTCATGTAATAGAGAGGGGAATATTGGGGCTGCCACTGCAGTGCTGTCATAGAGATGAACACTGGGGCTGCAAATTCTGACGTGTCACACAGAGGGGAATGTTGGAACTGCCACTGTGGTGCTGTCATAGAGAGCAGAACTTTGGACAGCCACCCTGGTAGTGTCATAGAGAGGGGAACTTTGGGGCTTCCACAGCTGCAGTGTCACAAGGAGGGGAAAGTTGTGGCTTCAACTGCTGTGGTGTCACACACAGTGGAACACTGGGGCTGCCACTGCTGTGGTGTCACAGAGAGGGGAACGCTGGGGCTGCTTTTACTGTATTTTCATAGAGAGGGGAATGTTGGGTTTGCCATTGATGTTGTGACAGAGATTGGAATTTTGGGATTGCCACCACTGTTTTCTCATGAAGAGGGGAATCTTTGCTCTACCACTGTGTTGGTGTCATACAGAGAGGAATGCAGGGGATGCCACTGCCATTGTGTCATGGAGAGGCAACACTGGGGCTGCTGCAGCTGCACCATCACGGAGTGGGGAATGTTGGAGCTGCCACTGCTGTGGTGTCACCAAGAGGGGAATGCTGGAATTGCCAATGCTGTCATGTCAGAGAGGGGGGGACATGTTACTGACCAACAGGGTGCCAGGTTATATCCTGACTGTCAGTTTAAGGCAGTGTTTCTGTATCATTGCCTTGATCTTAATTTTCTTATTAAATTGTAATTCTGGCTCAAAATCTCCCCCTGGTTTGCCCTCAAACCTGTACAAAACTCAATGCACTCATCTCTTGTTTTCCTCCCAAAACAGAATTTCCCATCCCAAAACCACCGCCAGATAGAGGAGAAGGCTGAAAGGAAGAGGAAGATGTCCTGAGACCACCAGGTAGGTGAGGAGGAAGTCACAGCCCCTTTCCCCCTCTCTCCTGCTCCATCTCCCTGCACAGCACAGCCCAAGGCTCCAGGACAACTCTGCTTCCAACGTCACCGTGCCAGGGATGCACTGGGAGGATCTCCTTCCCCTTCCCTCTGGCATGGAGGGAAATCCCATCCTCTCCTTGCCCTGCCTTCCTCAGACAAGGAGCTGAGGATGGAGACCAACGAGGACAAATCTCCACAGCAGAACCTTGTGGAAGAGGCCGTTTTGAGTGGCTCCATGGCACAGGAATCCAATGGGGAAGAAAATTCCCTGAGATCCTGCAGGAGGAGGGGCTCCAAACCCAGCCCAGGGTGCTCTGAGGAGGAAAGACCCACCCTGTGCCAGCAAGGTGGACAAAGCTTCAGCCAGAGCTCGGAGCTGATGGTCCAGGATCAGCTTCATGATGGGGAGAAGCCCTACAAGTGCTTGGAGTGTGGGAAGAGCTTCAGGCGGAGCAGCACCCTGACCTGCCACCAGATGATCCACACTGGGGAATGGCCCTACGAGTGTGGGGAGTGTGGGAAGGGCTGCAGCTGCTGCTCCGCCCTTGTCAGGCACCAGCGCATCCACATTGGGGAGAGGCCCTACAAGTACCCTACCTGTGGGAAGAGGTTTCACACCAGCTCCCATCTCCTTTTGCATGAAAGGATTCACACCGATGAGAGGCCCTTCCGCTGCCCTGACTGCAGGAAGGGCTTCAAGCAAAACTCCCACCTCGTCACCCACTGGCGCACACTCACTGGGGAGAGGCCCTACGAGTGTCCCCAGTGTGGGAAGAGCTTCTCAGACAGCTCTAACTTTACCAGACACCAACGGAGGCACCAGTAAGGGAAGCCCTGCGGGAGGCATGGCTGCAACATAAGGGCTTTTTCCCCCTGTGTAATCCCATGGCTTTTCCCAGTAAATTGTTGTTTTCCCAGCCTGGGATCTTTGCCTTTCATGCTTTCCATGGGAGGTGGGAGGGCAGCAAGCAGCAGTGCAGGCTGGGATGGTAGCCATGGAAACTGACCATAGCAACAGAGGACTGAGGATGGTAGCCATGGAAACTGACTACAGAAATGGGTCCTTGGCAGCCCAGCTTGGTGGCCACTGCAGAGCTGCTGCCTCAGGGCTCATTTTTGGCTGGGCTCAGAAAAGCCACTTCTGCTCCAGGAGCCGGCCTGGGAAGCCATTTGCCCCAGCACCTTGGGGACAAGATATGAATGACAAAACTCTTCATGCCAGCAGAGACAAGGCAGGGGCAGAGGAAAGGGCAGAGCCAGGCCCAGGGGACAGGGCTGCAGTGGTGATGGCTGTGAGGTCACTGCCCCTGGAGCAGCCTGGCTGCCCTCAGCAGACATTCTAGCCAGAAGCGTTGTGAGGGCACCCAGCACATCAGAGAACCCACACAACAGGAATTCTGTCCTTGGGGAGGGGACAGGGTTTCACTGGGTCAGGTTGCACAAAGCTTCTGATCTGGGACAATTCCTTTGATGGGGAATTCACTTCTCTGGAAAAACAGTTGCAGTTTTCTGCCACTCTCATAATTGCAAAATATTTCCTCCTGCTAACTAATGTAAATCCACCCCCATTCAGTTTAAATATATTGACCCTTGTTGTGTCACTGCAAGATTTGTGAAAAAATAACTTTGACCACTTTTTTCAATTTTCACACACTTTCAAGAGGACTCAAAAATCTCCCAAGATGGGGTTTTCTAGACCTCATCACATAACCGGCAGGGAGAGGCTGATGGCTCTGTGCTCAGTGGTGTGGAGACTGAGAACAGAACAGGAGTAGCCTGGGAGGGATTGAAGGGTGGTTTCAGAGAGGCTGGAGTTTTCTTCATAGAGGATATAACCATGAGAAGGCAATAACGGCGCCAAGTGCAGCTGGGGAGGCCCTGACTGGACACCAGGAGAAAGGAATTTCCCTCCCAGGGCAAGGCTGTGGTGCAACACGTCCCCCTTTCACATGAATTGTGTCCTTGACTGGGACCCATTAAAATGGCAAGAAATTTCCATGTTTCAACTTAAGTTTGAGTTCTTGAGAATTTTTTTGAGCAGACTCTGAGGGACTGAGTCTGATGCAAAGAGCACCAAAGCCCCAGAGGGTCCTTAAAGTCCTGGTGCTGTGTCTGTGCTGCTGAGCTGGGCCAGGCTCCTGGCCCAGAGGCAGCTCCTGGCAAGGGCAGCGCTGCAGAGAGACAGCTCTGGCCAGGAGCAGCTCCTGTGTACAGCCCAGCAGGGCTGTGCACTGCCAGGGCAGCTCAGGGACACGAGCAGGGCACAGACAGAGCTCAGACAGATCTGAGACAGGCGCAGACAGGGCTCAGCACTGGCAGGGGCTGGGGGATGTCCCAGAGGGGGCTGTGTCACAGCGGCACCTCTGTGGCTGTGTCACAGAGGCACAGAGCAGCTGTGATGTCAGAAAGGGGCTGTGTGACAGCACAGAGTGGGCTGTGTTAGGTCACAGATTGGGCAACAACATCAAAGAGTTTGTTGTTTGAGGACATCGGGCAGCTACAGCATCATAGAGGGGACTGTGTGACATCGCAGAGCAGGCTGTGACATCATGGGGTGGCTGCATACCGACATAGAGCAGGCTGCGAGGTCAAAGTGTGTGCTGTGACATTACAGAGTGCCAGTGTGGTCATCACAGAGAGGATTTTGTGACATCATTGCGGGTGTTGTGACATCACAGAGCAGGCTGTGACATCATAGAGTGTGTGGCCATAGAGTAGATCCTGCCGTCATGGAGGGTGGCTCTGTGACATCAGAGAGTGGGTTGTGGCATCAGTGGGTGGCTGTTTAGCATCCTACAGAAGCATGTGACATCACAGAACTGACTGTGACATTGCAGGGTGATTTTGTGACATCACAGTCTTCCATGACATCACATCACTGCTGTATGACATAACAGGGTGACATCATAGACTCGGCTGTGTGACACCACGGGAGGCTCTGTGACATCACAGGTGGCCGTGTGACATCATAGGGGGCTCTGTGATGTCACAGGATGCTGTGTGATGTCACAGAGCAGATGTGTGACATCACAGGAGCTGTGTGATATCACAGAAGCTGTGTGAGGTCACTGGGGAGGTCACTCTGCCCCAGCCCCCCCTCAGAGTCCCCCCAGAGCAGTCCAACGCTGCTCGTGCACAGCGGGGTCCCCTGTCCCCCCGGGTCCCCCCGCCCCCGGCACCGCAGCCTCCCCCAGAGGATGTTCCATGAGATCGACCCCAGATCGACACGGGGACGGGGGGCTGGGGCCCTGGGGGTGGGACAGGGAGACAGGGGCCCCCCAGCAGCGTCCCCATGTTCCCCAGGGCCAGAGCCTAGGCCAGGGCTCCTTCACCCTGTTATGAACAAGGGCTTGAGAGCGCTGAAAATATCCCCAGCAAGGGATCAGCAAAAAGCAGATTTAATATTAAGCAACAGCACCACAAAGTCCCTTGGCAAGAGTCACTCTGCTCCTGACTGGACACTTCAGGCACACTGAGGAAAGAAAGCAACAATAAAACCAAACAAAATCCAGGCAATCAAACCAGACATGAACCAAGAACTGTCCCGTGTGTGTGTGTGTGTGTGTGTGACACAAGGACAGTGAGGGCAAGCATAAACAGAATGTGGCCTTAAAGCTGAACAGAGCTCAAACTTAACAGGACTTAACTTATAACTTAACCTTAACTTCCACCTTAACTTTTACTTCTATCTTAAACGTCACAATTTAGCAAAAGAAAAGCACTTAATAGTATTTAACCTAACTTATGACCTATGACTTTGCAAATTAATGCTATTTAACTCAGTTTATAACTGATATTAAACATAACAACTTAGCAGAAAAATAACTCTTAGAAGCTTTTAACTTAGGTTATTCCTCATGACTTAACCTCACTTACAGGCCTGACTGACTCAGCTATCCAAGGCATTCCAACACCTCAGACAGCAGCATTTCTGTCACATTTCCCCAGCACAGGCACTCCTGTATGTGCACAGACACAAAGAGTCAGTGCAAGGCACCTGTGAGAAATTCCCCTGAGGGCAGGGAAATGCTCACTGCGGATGCTTTGGCATCTCCCCAGCAAGCGAAGGGTTGAGCCTGAATGAGTGGGGAGATCGGCCCAGGCTCCATCATTGTTCAGGATCCCTGGGTGCAGCAAACGGGAGAGTTCCCGGCTCGGAGAGGTCCCACTCAGAGGGAGTTTCTGGCCCAGCACAGCTCCAAGGGGCTCCTTTTGGAGTGGCAGGGCGGCCTGAGAAGGGAAGGGGCTAATGCAACTGCACAGGCCCCATGAAACCAAGGGACCATTGTGACACTGTGGGGCCCTGTGACACCAAGGGACCATTGTGAAACTTTGGGATGTCATGGAACCAAGGGGCCACTGTGACACTGAGACGTCCCATGGAATAAGCAAAGCATTGTGCCACTCTGAGGCATCATGGAACCAGTGAGACCATTGTTACCCTGGGGGTCCCCACAGAACCAAGAGGACCATTGTGAGACTGTGGTGGGATGTCATGGAATCAAGGGGCCATTGTGACACTGTGGAGCCCCATTGAACAAAGGGTTCATTATGACTCTGCAGGGCTGCATGGAACCAAAGCTCCAAGGTGACACAGTGGGGCCTCTTGTCATCAATGGTCCCTTGTGACACTGTGGGGCCAAAGGAGACCATTGTGACACCACAAACACCCAGGGGCCAAAGGTCCATTGTGATATTGCAGGGCTCATGGAACCAGTGAGACCATTGTTACCCTGGGGGTCCCCACAGAACCAAGAGGACCATTGTGAGACTGTGGGGCCTTGTGAAACCAAAAGGCCTTTGTGACACTGCAGGGCTGCAAGGAACCAAGGGGCCATGGTGACATTGTGGAGCCCAATTGAACAAAGGGTTCATTATGACTCTGCAGGGCTGCATGGAACCAAAGCTCCAAGGTGACACAGTGGGGCCTCTTGTCATCAATGGTCCCTTGTGACACTGTGGGGCCAAAGGAGACCATTGTGACACCACAAACACCCAGGGGCCAAAGGTCCATTGTGATATTGCAGGGCTCATGGAACAGAGGAGTCACGTGTCATTGTGGGGCCTGGGGGACCACAGAGACCATTGTGACACTTCAAGGCCCCATGGAACCAAGATGTCCTTGTGACACTATGGGGCACCATAAAACCAAGGAAACATGGAACAGGCCTGGCTGGTTTGAACGTGACTCGTCCAGCTGACCTTGGAACATTGAGGTCTCTTCTCATCTGCTTCTGAAACACTGCGGCTCCGTGCTTTCCTTCGCAATGGAAAAGAACTGTCCTTCTCCTGCAGGCATACATGGGCAGAATTCAGGTTTCACCACCAAATGTCCTTATATCCAGAGATTGTTCCCATAGGAATATTTCCAGAACAAGTCTGGCTGGCAATGGTTTCATGAGAATCACCTGACATCTGTACCTAAAACACTTGCGAAGGGTCTGTGCTCTCCTTCCTATGGGAGAGAACTGTTCTGCTTCTCCAGGCACCCAAAGCCAAGACTGGGCTTCCACCTCCAAAATTCCTTAAATCCAAAGACTGCTCCCAGACAAAATCTGCCATTGCGCACAAGTCCTGCTGGCCTTGGCCAAGTGAAACCCTCACCTGCCTTCCAAGCAGTGGGGCTCTCTGCTTTCCTTCCTATGGAAATGAACTGCCCCTCTTGGCCAGGTGCCCATGGGCACAACTGGGGTTCCACCTCCAACATTCCCTATTGTGACAGAATCAAAAAGCCCTACAACCTACAACCCATACAAAATAATCCTACAACTAAAATTAAACACAAAAAAGCCAAAAATCCAACCATAAAACCAATCCTAACACAAC